AAATGGATGGATAATAATAATAATATCATCAACAACAATAATAATAATCAGAATAATAATCGTAATCATATTAATAATAATAATACACCTCAATTACTTCTTTGTATAAACCTCACCCCACCATGATGAAATATGTTTAAGAGTTTAGAAGACCTAACACTGAAACTGGAGCAATACTTTAGTGTAAATGAATACCTTAATGAGGGGGTTACAAAGCTGCAGCACTTGGAAAAAAAGAAAGAAAAAAAAAACAACTGCAAACCTGGAATATTGAGTGATGCTATCCGTTAAAGCTGTGTCAATCGTGTGTGATTCTGGGACCAGAGGGGGAAAAGGTTAATTCCCAAACACCTGAAAAAGATAACCATGTTAAATATGTGGCTCGAGAGAAAATGTATTTTTTTTACAAGTGTTTACAAGTACTGCATAACACTCCACCAACTTACCCATAAATTGTGTTTATACCCACACTTTGTGTGATTAAATAACCTTGAATTCAAGCAATGTGATGCCAATCCCACCATACCATACGTCTACATCAAATTAGAAGTCTATAAAACATCATGGAATGTATATTTTGTGTTTTATATAAAGTTGCTCTTTATTTCAACCCTCAGCCCTAGTCTTACCCATGAAACTCTCTCAACTAAATTGCTCAGGATTCCTGCTAACTCATTCTGCAAACAGCTCTGTTTGTTTTGGCTCATTGCTTTCAATAAAATCTGTATATATACACACAACATATTTGTATCCTTGTGTAGGAATAATTGTGGCTTATAATGTAACAGTGAAATCTATATGGTGTTTTACTGGGCTGTGTAGGAATGTGTCAATGTCTATTCCTTAATGCATAAAGAGTTTGAAGAGTAACATGCTGCAAGTTTATTGAAACTTCTGTGCAAATCCAGTTTACAGGAGAACAGTACTAAACAAAAGAGATAAATTATGAGAATAATTAGTATTAACTTGATGTAAGAGTATCACTGGGAATAAAATGTGACAAGTCTTTGATTCTCATGAAGCAGCTACTGTATAATGCACATCCAGAGAACTTCGATTTTTCTCCTTAGTGCTGCTCAAAGCTGTAGCCTTTTCAAAAACTGCACCTAATATGGAGCCGTAATTGGTGCTGGCAATCTCAGACACTAATTGTGTTACCAGTAAAACAAGCAAACCACACGATGCAGGCTGCCAGTGTAAATAGAATTATGGACCCAGTCAAATTTGTGCTGTGCTTTTCATTCTGCCTTTGAATCATTTTATTTACACCTACCTTCAAACTTGCGTGCATTTCCCCAGTCAGTTCAATCAGTCTTGCAGTTGCATGAACTTCTGGCTCACCTGTCTAGTTAATCTTCACCTGCATGGTTTTTGTTTCCTCTGAAAGAGCTCCAAATCATGAGGTACTTTTTAAAATAATGGTAGTGAGACAAAGTGTACTATTTAAAATACAATAGCTTATCCACAAAACAAAGGGGTCACCCTATTATCAGAAAGGAACAGCCATATACTAGCATTAAACCTGTGTTTTTAATTCAGATCTGGTTTTTCATCTATTTGGACTTTTGTTGTGTGACTTCTAGTTACAGTGACACTCGTTTGTATTACAGTCAGGTTAGGTGATGATGCCAAAAGTCTATATTTCTAGGAATTGAAATTTATGGGTAAGGGTCAGAAGAAAAAAACAGAATTAGAAGCATGAGTAGTTTTTACCTGAGCTGTAAATGTTGTCCAAGTGAAGCTTCATGTACCCCTTTGATGTTGCCTCTTCAAGTCTTGCCTCTTCCAAATCTTTCTACCTTCACTTAGTCCTTGGGACTTGTTCTCTGTCACATAAAACCTGTTGTCTGTGTTTTAGATATAGTTTGGTCATCAATCTCATGAGTATGTAGATTGAAAAAAATCTTTCTTTTCCACTCCTCAAAATATACCTTAAGGGAAATATCATAATGGTCAAACAGCAGTTTTAACTGTAGGTATATATACATGTGACAGTCATTCAGTGAGTTCTACCTCAACAAAGAAAATGTTTGAGACATGAATATAATATAGGGATACACTTTGACTGTCCGGTAGGTGGGCCTTGTGACAAACCATTCCTGCAGTTCCCCACTTTCTGGCTGTATTGTCATCTGCTATCACTGATACATTTCCTACGTTGGCCGACAGGTCCTCCAAGACCAGGGAAACACATGGAAGTTATCCAAAGCTAATTTACATTCAAGTTCCAGTACTGGGAAAAGCTGTTGTGGCCAAATCAAACCAGATTGCTTTTCTCTCAGACAATGTTTGTGCCACAGAGCACACACTTGGAAGCAAAAGAGGTGATTTCATACATCATGGTTGAAGGCATGGCTGTTGGCAGACCCACCTCATTAGTTTTATAACTCACAGTTCTTATAATGCTAAATCTCCCTATTTCAAACTTAACAGAACAGAAATTGTGGTTTTAACACAGTCATTGATTCACAAAAATCCTGCCTTTCTGACAAACGCATCTTTCTAGACCAACACAAAATGTCCATGTCTTATCTTTATTTCATGGTTGATCTGCACATTCATTTGCCTCTTTCCTAGTGTGCGATAACTCCATCCCAGGGGACGAGCCAGGCATGCATACCCTGCAGCCCATGAACATGAGGAATGCCCTCCGAAAGGAACGGTTGAAAAAACCATACAGGAAGGGATTTAGAGATGAGTTGATGTATCCTAACCACAGAAATATATCCCAGACGACCACCTCTGTGCTGTAGTCAATGAATGGGTCCACAATGTTGACCGTGAAGAAGGGCATCCAGAAGAGAAGGAAAACTCCCATGATGATACCTAAAGTTTTTGCTGCCTTCCTCTCCCTCTTCATGGTGTTACGGTGTCTTTTTTTCTTGCTCGAGTCTTTGCCCACTCCAGCAGCCATCTGGCTTTCCATAGCACTGATCTGCCTGGCCTGCCGTTTAGCAGCTTTAAAGATTTTCCAGTAGGCCACTAGCATTATAGCCATGGGCAGGTAAAAGGCTACCAAGGAAGCCATGACAGCGTAAATGCGACTGACCAAAAACACGCATACATCTTTAGGAAGCAATATGTCTACATCAGCAACATGAAGATCAAGCATAATGGGGCCAAATGAAATGAGCATGGGAACAGCCCAACATATAGCAATGAGAAGAGCTACCCGACTGCTGGACATCTTTAAGGAGTAAACTAGAGGGTTGCAGACGGCATAATAGCGGTCAAAGGCAATGCAGCTGAGATGGAATATGGAAGCAGTACAGAGCATAACGTCTAGGCTCGAGTGTAGTTGACAGAAAAGGGAACCAAAGAACCAGCATCCCTCCACAGTCCGTATCATACTGTATGGCATGACTACCAGGCCAACGAGGCAGTCAGCCACTGCCAGGGACATGACGAAGGAGTTTGTAGGGGACTGGAGCTGCTTGAAGTAAGCGATGGACAAGACCACCAGGAAGTTGCCCACCACTGTGCAGACGATGCCAACAGAGAGGAAGGCATAGAGGAAAATGCGTGAAATCTGGTTTCTCAATGTAGAACAGGGCTGAAGTTCGATCTGAAGGGACGTGTTAGCATCTTCGAGCCACCCCAAACTGCTGTTATCCATGATTTAGTCAAACCTGCCAAAACACACAGATACAGTAATAAATAATGACTTAGCATTTCAAAGCGGTTTGCTTATGCTCCTCTACGGCACATGAAACCTCCCAGAGTTCTGTTTGTTTCAGACTAAGGTGCTGCTCCATGGTAACGTATCATTAGTTAATCTCTGAACTGCACTGAACTCTAGTTTGATGCATGAAACACAGGAGGCTGTGAGCCCGAAAAGCTTTTTTCCTTGTGCAGTCACCTTATCTAACCTGCCATCTTTGCTTGGTGTGGTAAGCAAAACCTGGTGGTCTTTTCATCAGCGTAGATTAAAACTGTCAGATAATATCTTGAGAGGGCAGTGAATCCTCCAAATGAGTCAACTGTCTTCAGGTCTATTGGAGTGGAACTTCTCACATCACGACAGGCAGATATTTAGGAATTTAAAAACTTAATGTTAAATGAATCTCCATATGCATTGACGGTTCATGAGGATATCAGGTACGTGCCTAATTCAACGTATAACAGTGTTTTCTTGCATATTTGCTCGCATTGCACATTACACATCACACAGCTGAACACATATGACTGTAATCAGCAGTCAGATTAAATTTCAACTGCCAATGGAATTAGCACGGAGCAGATGTTCCAGCTAAGTTGAAATAGATTTTAATGAACACCACAGGGACAATGCAGTGTTAATGGCAAATGATAGGGAGAGAACATACGAGTCTTTTTTCGTTTTTGTTATTTTTGTCTTGAACAATTGAACTGATCACCATTGGTGGTCAGTATGAAAGAAGTCACTATAAAATAGATTAATGCATTAATTTAAGCTCACACCCATCCACGCTGTAAAAAACGATATTCTTCTGCACAAATAGGCGTTTAAGTCGCTCAGCTGCAATCAATTTAAATATCAGCAGTTAAAATGAAAATTTCAGCTGTGCTAGCAAACCGTGGTCATCTCATGTTTCAATTAAAGTGAGTGATAACTTTATCTGTGATTCCTCACAAAGTGAAATACAAATGTAGTTAAGCTAACTTGCGTTTTTTTAGTTGGGGAAAGACAAAAAGAAAATCTATTTTAACAAAGTGTTTAATTTATTATTTGTGTTGTAAAATGTCATAATGAAATAAAGATGTATTTTATTTTATGTGATATATTAATTCCTTTGAACTAGACAAAAATTTAAAAAAAAAAACTGTGACTCAAGCTCAGAACTTAAAATCTTTAGGTCAATTAATTACATTTCCAGTGTTTTTTTGTTTTTTTTTAACTTAACCTGCCAAATTATGGTATTTAGAAAAATGGTTAACTAATTTGCAGCAAATTCCCAGCATGCATTGCATTAAGTTTTCCAGAAATCTTTTCATAAAAGAACATGATGGAAGTCATTGTGTTTCTCTTTTGAATGTGGTTCAGACAAGTTAGATGGTTTTGTCTCTGATCATAATTAAAAACTTTGCAAACTTTGATGAAAGCTTCTCTTTAGTTCAACACAGTCATCATACAAGAGTTGAAATCACTGATGTGATATCAATAAGAAATGTTCTAGCTGTATTTTTACGACAAGCAGCAAATCAGAATTATAAACAAAAACACAACTTGAAGCATTTAATTGCAAATATACAATAGTGTGTTAAATACTGTTATTTTATTCATTGATGTTTTTTTTTTTAGAGGGGCAAACCAAGAACTTAAAGCAGCAACCTGTAATTTTCAGTTAACAGAAGTAAAATTGACTTGTCATGTGCAAAACTTTGAAAATTCCAGTAATGTATGGCACTTTTGTTTGCTGCTTTAAAACGTTGTTTTCTTAACATTCTCCTTTTTATAGTACAGCTTTAAGGATCTTGTTTATGTGTACATTAGTTGCCCTCTAACTGTCGTAAAGTCTGTTTACATGCAATAATATTCACATATTCAACAAGAGCAGGTCAAAGTGTACTCTTCTCCTCCCTCCTTAGGAAAATAGGGGGCATTTTTAGCATTCAGCAAAAAAACACAGGTCTCAGGACAGTCATTTCCACACCCCAGCCCCCTGCATACACCATTGTTCTATTTCATCTATTTATTTATTTATTTTTTTGTATCTCCATCATATCGCCATATATGCAAGAATTGTTTGGTTGCAAAATACCTTTTTTTACAATAAATTTTCACTGCCACAGAAAGAGAAAGGAAAGGAAGATCTAATGTCAGCCAGACTGACACTAGATCTTCCTAATGTCAGTCTGACAGCACATAATAATTATTGCTAAGTGTTCTGTCTTCTTGTCAAACTTATCAAACTGTAATTTAGTGAATGCAAAATACATTTATGTGGGATGGTTACATCCGTTGTAATGCAGCAATACTAGAGAAAAGAATACTATCAATATGGTGATGCCCAACATGCTGAAAGAACATATAAAATATAAAGAAAAGCACTTTCTCATTTTCATTTAAAAGATACATATTGCCACTCTGAAAAAGCCTATTTAAAGCACAAAAATGTTATTATGTCTTGATGATTTCTTTCTTACCATGCAATTCCAGTTAACTTATCTATAAATGTAAACATGTCAAACTAAGAGAGAGTTAAAAAAAATAAAATAAAAAAGAAAGCAAGGCTTTGCTTACTGTACCTTGTGTACATCCGGTGCTAACAGATAATTGCGTAAAAACTTACCTGCATAGAAGAGAGATGATCGTTTGCCCTCATGTCTGTGGCGTACTGCAGTTCTGTAAACCCGGGTTTTATGCAGACAAGAGGGATGGGAGAGGTGGGAGGTGGGCTGTAATGAACGCATGCAACAATAACCACAGCAACAAAATACAGCTGCTGCCAACTCCCCTGGCAACTCACTTAAAATGATGGTGGAAAAGGCTTGAATTTTCTTATTTTCTGATGACACAGCCATTCCTATTGTGGTATGCTGAAGGACAAACCAGGACCTGTATGCATTTCAGATGTGTACATTTGCAAAACAGGGCAAAATTGCATTTAACACGAAACTTGTTTGTATGCGAACGTAACCCTGTAATTAAGACACACTAGAAAGAAACACCACATACTGTACACTTAGCTCATATATATGAACAACACACATTTGATTTTCTCAAGAGCAGTCAGGGGAAACTAATTACGTGCACAAAGAATCATGGGTTTTTTGACTCCAGAGATGGCAAAATCAGTAACTCATCTTTACTGTAGCACCATGAGCAAGTTGATATTTTAGTTTTTTCATTAAATGCCCAAATTATTAGACTGATTTGAGTCTGACATTTGTGTTTCCATCAGGATCACCATGCATGACTAGATTATAACTAGTGACTCATTACATCAGGATGAGCTGAAGCAACACACCACCTAATACTGTATTCTATTGTTTATGGCACATGATAAAAATATACGCAGGCATTAAAGGGAAAAGAAAATGATTGTCACTTAATGAAATTGAGGGAAGAAATGAGATTGCTCCACTTACAACAACAATATCTGTGATGATATAATGAAGGAAGTGTGTTTACCTACTATCTGATTTTATAATTTAAATGAGCTCTGCATGGATGCAACTTCACTTTCTACATACCCTCAAAACAGCTCTCACGATGCCTTTCATGCGTCTCAGTGTCCAACAGACCACAGCCAATCCTGTCGAGCTTGAATACCTTGGGCCTCAGCCAGTGACAGACGTATCTCAAGTGTGGCGGATGTGTTCTAATTAAACATGAGGGGATTTTTAATGAAGGGTGCAATAAAAGACACATTGGCTCAATAACTAGTGTTTTTTCAGACCAGTCATTCATATGTGTAATAGAAGTGTGCTTTACAGGCAGGGGAGACGGCCGCACATCTGTTCTTTTGTTTCCAGAAAGAGAAGTGATGTAAGGTTGATTTCAGTGTTTTGTTTTATTTGCTAGAGAGCAATTAAAGTGGCCTGTCTCATATGATTATACATTTCATTAACAGTTATGTAATACTCACTAACAGTGCTATATGTTTACTGTCTGATACTTCAAATGTTTACTCTGTCATCATAATTTAACTTTCAAGAAATTAGCAATCCTGCCTTCCTTAAAATTACATTTGGAATTTTCAATATTGAATATGTTTGAAGATAAATGTCATGCCGTGCAGTTAACTCGTCCTTAAATCAGCATAACTAGAAATTATGTTTATGAATTTACCTGACTGTATACAAGCTCTTCCAGGACTGGGATCCGGTGGCAATAATTTCTCCTTGAAAATGCAACTGCTAAAACAGTTTAGTAGTATGGATTTGTAATTTTGAGGAGACGCCTTATTTTAAATTAGACCATAAAGCGAGGAACAGCATTTGGCGACAATTATGCACCATTTTTCTCAGCGTCATTTAGCGGCAGGGCCAGCTTCTTTCAAGTAAGGTGGAAACACATGTTTTGTTTGTTCATTTCTCCATTAGTCAATAAAATTAAGTGATGAAATTGTTTATTTAGGGCCAGATTTATGTCAGTGCTGCTATATCAACACTTAAAGAATTCTAAAAAATATTAAACACACTGTGATGCAGCCAATATAAAGTTAAACTTAGAGAACGAGAGGTTTATCTTGACTTCATTAAAAAAAAAAAAAACACAAATTTTGCAAATGTACATGTGAAAAAGTTGAATTGATGTATAACAAGTATCCCACAGCTTTTTTTTTTTTTTTTGTAGTTCAAAGTAGTTATCAACATAAATAATAACAGTCACATATTTAACATTTAGAGTCTGTTAATCTTTTAAAATAATGGGGTTTTTTTAATTTCTTTTGCTCGCACTCAGAACTAACTCTAAAACTCCATGAGTTGGTTGAGCGTTTCATTCCCAGATGACTCTTAATGCTTCCAGCTAATTTGCTTTTAAATGAGAAGTCTATAAAATGCGAAGTGGCTGCATATCCCCACAGGACTGCTGACCCTGTCTGGTCAGTTGACTTAAACATTGGCTCTGTTTCCCTCACCAGAAGGAATAGCAGCTGCTGGACATGTGTTTTCTTGAAGAGTTATTGT